GGTGGCCTGCCTTGCAAGCACAAAGACCCGAGTTCAATCCCCAGTATCAAAATAATAATAATAATAATAATAATAATAATAATAATAAAATAAAACTCAATGAATCCAGGAGACATTCAGTGAGTGCCTGCTAGGAGGGAAAGTTCTTAGGGAAGAAACAAATCTATAGCATTCAATTCTCCAAAGTTACCCTTATCTGAGTGCTACTCAGGAATCTTCTTGCTTAGCATCTAAGGCTAATATGAATAAATTCTGGCTGGTCTACTTAAGAGCTGAAAGGCAATAAAAAGTAAAGGTTGAAATGCAAATAAAATACTGGTAAATCAGAAACATGAAAGCTATAGCTTGAAAATATGGATAATTTCCTTTTGAGAATAACTAGTATACAAAAAGGTGAAAATATTTAATGTCCACATTTTGATGAATTTGGATATTTGTATATATCCACCATTATAGTGGTACTAAATGTGCACCTATCATCTCCAAAAATTTCGTTATATTCTCTTTGGGGTTTTGCTTCCCTGTCTCTGTCTGTCTTTCTCCCTTTGTCACTGTCTCTGTCTTTGTCTCTGCTCTGTCTCTGTCTCTCTTTCTCTCCCTCCCCCTCACCACCCTACTCTGTCTGCAAGAACACTTCACACAAGATCTGTCCTCTTTACATAACTCAAAATGTGTACTGCCATATTTAATTATTGGGATGATGTTGTACACTGGTCTCTAACACGTATTCATCTTGCCACGAAGCTGAAAATTTCCAAATACTCAATTTAAAATCAGTATCTAACATATAGCCACCCACATGAAATGTCTCCTTCAAAAGTCTTGAATACCCCAGCAGCACAGAAAAGGCTTGAATAGAAAACTGATTTAACTAATTTATTGTTTCCAAAAGAATAACTGAAAAATTATGTAATTTTTCTGTTTCATTTGAAAAGAGTACATCATCATCAATAATGATGCACTTCTCCTGGCTCCCGGGCTGCATGCTGACCGGCAGCGAAGAACAATGAAATGGTACAGTCATTGCCCATGCACATCTGGGTTTGGTTTTAAGCATTGAGCCATATCATAATGTCTAGATCTGTCCTTTAAATTAACATCTCATTATCATGTTTTCTGGCAGGAAACTGTACAGATTGTAAATGGAGTTGGACTTAAAATTCAACAAGAAATTAAAGCGGTAACAGTTTAGACATTAAGTACTAAATTCTGCAGAGTTTCACTGTAATCTGAATTATTTCAGATTTCAGAGACAAAGAAAGGCAGAGTGAATGGGTTTCCGAGAAAAATTTTAGGTGAGAACTGTAGGAAAGTAGCACTGAAACAATGGTGATAGTCCATCATAATAGAAAATGTTTTTAGTAATTACTAATTATTAGTGTCCTCTTAGCTTTCTGATTCAATACACTCACATTGGACTCTTAAGACTTCTAGAAGCTCAAGCGATGAAACATTTACAAAAATCCTATACAACCTTTTTTCTTATGGAACTCAAAATAAATGCAACAGAGCCCATAAGACAGAAAACAACGATTTGGTCAAATAGCAATGATTATATTGCTAATGGTTTTAAAAAGATTTCCTTTTGGATCCTTTGTTTTGTGGGTCCCCTAAGTATATGATTACTAATTAATAGTTACTCTAGCATCACCTCTAACACATTTTAAATGTAACTTGCAACTTATTACTCACTTTACGGTTGTCTAAAACTTGAATGAGAGCCAAGATTTAGCTCAATGGTTCTGCTGCCTGCCTCACAAGGACCCCCCCCCAAAAAAAGCTGAATGAAAGTTATCTACGCAGCCAATTTAGATGGCATGTCTCAGCTCCCTTAGCTGTTTTATGAATGAATTTTTAAACAAATCTAGTAGTCAAGAGCCAAAAATCATTGCATATATCCCTGAGCTCGAGGCCATAAAAATATATTTTGCCAGTCCATTATGGCACTAGAAAGCAGACCATTTGGAGAATAGAAATCAATCAACAATCTCCCTGTGAGTTAAGTTCATTAAATAGTTCCACTATGCTTTGAAGACAGATTTCAAAATCTTTAGTATAAGTTAGAGGACCCTTAAGAATCAGCCTTCCAATGAACCCTCGTGACTTATTTCTTAACCCTTCTTGTGCCCTGGTGTTGTAGTTAAATGACTAGCAGTCTCCCAAGACAGCCAAGTATTTTCCTGAAACTTAGGCTGTATAGCTTCTGCCTCAAACAGCAACGATCAATAAAATTATAATGCAGCATATATAATTTTAAAATTTCTAGAGCCATATTTAAATAAGTAAAAAATAAACTGAAAATTTAACATTAATACAATGTATTTAGCTCAGAAGATCTACAATATTATCACATCAGTTTATGATTGATATAAAAAAATTTTTTTGGTATCTGGAATCGAACTCAGGCCCTTGTGCTTGCGAGGCAGGGGTGGAACCACTGAGTTCAACCACCGGCCCAGTATAAAATTTCAACTAGACATTTTTTACCTTTTTTCCCATATTTTTATACTCTCTTTAAATCCTAATCACAGAGTATTATCTTAATTCTACCTAACCAAACTAGCCCTGTGATTAATGGTTACCACATTGGACGTTACCAATGTGGAAAATCTTTGCTCTCCTTATCTTTATGATTCAAATCATTTTTACTCTCACTGGGGATGTCCTTCCTTATTTCCAGGTCTAGCTATCTATCCATTTACTGCCACAGTACTGTAGATGGTCCCTCTGACAGTCCATTGATCACAGAGCATTGCCTCTTCATACATCTTTATCTACCAGTACAATTGAAGCTCTCTGAACTTGGGGACTGGGTCTTACCTAATTTTAGATACCAATCACCTGGCAAACATTCATCATAAAAAGAGTTACGGGTTTTCATTTGTATTAATTATCCAGGTGGGAACAGGTTCAACATAAAATCCTGGTTCTTTACTAAGCACTTCGAATGTATAATAGTTATAGTATGCCATATTAAAAGGCTTGGTAAACTATATGACATTATATAAATGTGAATTATACTTATGAAAAGGCCATTAATTAAATACAACAATATTAGAAAAATTAAATTTTTAATTTTCATTAGTCTTTGTAAGTGTTAACTAATGATACTCTGGTAAATTATAATAACACAGCTCATTTGAAAGTTGAGACAAATGAGGAAAACTTTAATTTGCACACGGCTTTTGACTCAGTCTTAGTTAGAGTCAAAGTTAAGTGGTAGGAAACACAGAATTTTAGTGGAGCTGTTCAATTACTTCCCCCTTCCTTTTTCTTTTTCCTTGAGTGCCTGTGATTAACAAACCTCTCATTTAACCTTTTTCCTCCAGCTGGTAACTGTTGGTTAATGCTCACTTTTTACTCCATTAGTCAGCTCTTTTTCAAAATTTTGTTGATGTTAGTGGGTTTTCTTAAAGGCACTGTAGAAATCCAATCTTTATAGTGAAAAAATAATTTCCCTAAGCCTTGGTTAACTTATATGCAAGCTATGGAAAATATTACTTTTTACTGAACTCTTAACATCTAGCACAGATAGACAGCAAGTGCAATGAACCAAAGAAATGCCACAGCTGATTGATTAACTCTGGCTCCCTGGAGCACCATGTTAAGAAAGACACCAAGGCTCTGTGGGACTGAGAAGGGCAGCCATCTGTGATTGATTAGGAATGTCTGCCATGGGCCTGTACTGAATGTTGACAAACACAGCATCTCACTTTTGTTATCCGAGGTCTAGGTGGATAAGTAGCAGTAGGGAGCTGGGTTAAAGTCTACTTATCAGCAGCAACTGAAAAAGTATTGACTTTCAGAAAACAAGTTAGTTTTGAATAACTTGGATCTTTACAAGGAAAGATCAGTACTGTCCATACATCATGTAATACAACATTCTGTGGTAAATGGTGCTTCAGTCCATAATGGGTTATTGAGAAGCAATTCATAAGAAATGTGGGTACGTCAACCATCTACTTAGGTGTTGACCCCATCCTAAGAAAGAAATGATGACTTCCTCAGCAAATCTTCCTCCGTGGCTCGCTTTAAATCTGACACAAACCCAAGCTCTTCGTGGACAACACAATCCTTGTGTCTGCCAAAAAGATGAAAACTGAAACCATGCAACAATATCTCCTCCTTGTCCAGTCAGGAAAGCAAGCAACTGGAAATAGAGCAAAGCCCATCCTCTGTCCAGATAAAACCAGTATCCAACCGAATAAATCTGTGCTCTCTTCATTTTTCAAAACAAACCTTGGAAACAGTAATGAACTTCAAAATGCAACTATAATCAGAAATATACTGACTTAACATTTTTTTCCAATAAACTGTGTTCAGAGGGACTGAAAGTGTATTGATATTTTAAAGCCAAAAGGCTGAATATTACCTATTTTAACAAAGTCTTAGCTTTAGTTTATTTTCTAATCTACAAAAAAAAAAAAAAAAAAAAAGAAAGAAAGAAAAAGAAAAAAGGCACACAGAAAATAAGAGGCAACCCTCCCTTAAAGAGAAAGCTAGCTCCATGCTGCTTACAATTGCCTTCTGCCTCTGCCTCTCCCTCTGTTTGGCCCTTTCAGATTCCCGCTTGTCATACTCTTTCCTGTATTCTTCCCTCTTCAGCCTTTCATGTTGATATGCCTCATAGCTGTCATACCTGGAAAACATAACTTCATCATTAAATCAACCACCTCCATTTTCATGAGCAAAATGAATCATAATTTGGGGAAGGGAGAAGGGCTTTAGATGATATCTTATCATCTAAAGGAGAGGGTACAAGGAGCCAGAGGCAGAGGACATGGCTCATTACCTGGGCCTACGGCTGTAGGGCGATCTTGAACGTGATCTCACATACAAGGGAGAGTTTCGGTGTGTGTGGTGTCTGTAGTGGCTTGATTCATAGTAGTAGCAGGATCTGGGGGAGAGAAGAACAAAAGGGACATTTGCAAGTGCCACTTACTCCGGTTTTATCAGCACTACTGGATGGGTTTTGAAATACTCTACTGCATACACTGGCTTTCCTAGCTACTAGTGAGATTTTCTGGAGACAATTTGTGATCAGCAAGTCAGTTCTGAGGCCAGAAAGCGATGTGTTCTCTGTATGTGCATCTCTTATTGATGTTAACGCTGAGTACCAGGTCTGGTACACTGTCAGCTTTATCTTGCATGGATCTCAACTATTCTGGCACAAAGCAGCTCTCCATGTAATGGAAAAAGTTAGATGAGCAAGTTTCTTACAAATTTCTCTTTCTGACCTGACTGGTTCAAGGCACTGTGCTAAGGCTGAGTTATTTAGGAGCACCATGACAGAAAGGAATGTATAAGGGCACTGTTGGTTCCCACTGTACTGGAAATGCAGCAGAAAAGGGCTGGGCTGGCTATAAGTTTGAATACTTTCTTTGACTTCCTGGGAAACACCTTAGCATTGGGTAAGTTTTGACAAGAATTACCTTGAAGAAGATCTACTGCCTGGGGACCTTGATCTTGATCTGGAATATGGTGATCGGGAACATGACCTGTGTCGAGAAAAGGACCTTGAACGAGAGCACATCCTTTGGGGTCTTTGAGAAAATAAGGATTTGGGTGGCGACACGGAATCTCTACATGGAGAGTTAAAAGAAGAGCAGGAAGGCGACACATCAAACAATGAATAGGACTGCGTGCCATCCCAAGGGTAGCTCAGTTTATCACTTTCATCTTCGCTGTCATCAAACAGGCCATCCATGGCTAGTCCTGAATTTATAAACATAGGTAGTTTGGAGAATTGTTCATTACTGAAATCACTGTCCCTCAGTTCACTGGTCTTGTCTGCTTCGTCGTCAAAAACAGCTTGACTGGGATGGCCGAAGTGCTTGTTCAGCTCGGCTCGGATTTCCTGGTCCTGGAGCTGTTTTCTGGTGCTGCAAGGAGAGAGCTGCTTGCTGGCCTCCAAAGTCTCTCTCAGGTAGCACTGGTCTGAGTCTGTGGAAGAACAAATCTGCCCCTGCCAGTCAGAGGAGGCATTTTTATAGTCTAGTTGTCTAGAGTCCTGGAGCTCTTGTGATATATTAATAATTACTGCTGTTTTGGAATTAATGGACTGACAGTAGTCATGGTCACCAAACAGCCGTAGGCTGGACCGCTTAGTCTTCCTCTCCTCTTGTCCACTTCCGAGCGCTGAGGACTTGCTAAGTTGTGCATACAACTCGGATTGCTCGGGCCCCTTCCTGGTGTAGTTACTGACTTGGGTTACAGAAGACTCGCTGTGCCTGGGCTTCTTTGATGGTGGTGGCACCACAGTCTTGCAAGAGGACTTCAGCTTTGGAGAAGCCCTGAAAGGGTTATCTTGGTTGGCTTTATGAGGAGGAGTTGTAGGTGGAGTTAGGCCTAAGGCAAAAACAAAACAAAACAAAACAAAGAAAAAAGAAAGAAGGAGAGAAAAGAAACAGAGATAATGTTCTTAAACGACAAGACACATTTCCTAACTTTTCCAAGATCGCAGACAAAGGTTAAAACTGATTGAAGAAAAAGGAAACTAAATTCGTGACAAGACCTGAAAAACTGATTCATTCCCTAAGCCTCTGTCACCAACAAAAGATGGATGGACAATGCCAGGTAGCAGCAAGAGCTGTGGTATTTTGTATTTCAAACACCAAAGCTAACAAATCCTGCTCCCCAGAAAACATGGCTGTGTCACCGGTGGCCTCGCTGGCCTACGTGTTGCCAATGCTAGAATTTTCAAGGGCATTGCATAGGCTGTCTAATGGAAAAATGACGCAATGGGACCCAGGAATCAGACTGGCCTTGGTGGCATCTGTGTGTAAAGAATCTTGTAGAGGATGCAAGCAACTCCGGGCTCTTTGTCCAATCAAGAAAATCTAAACTGGGAGCCAAGGAATTAAGTGATTAAAAAAAAATGACAGTAAATGTTGGGCAGGGTGGGAATGACACAGATACATCCAAATAAGTTCGGGAAAATCTGACAGCCAGGATGCTGCAAGGAACTAGAATCACTCCACCACTTGATGGCAATGATTCTTTGTCTCCACAGTTCATTAACTCAGTAAACCATGGCTAATGTAGGTATAATACATTCTTGTAAGCATAACTAATACATTCTGTCTAAAGTATAGTTCTGCAACAGAAACCTAAGTGAAAAGTAACAGTAAGTATCGCCATGCTAGTGGACCATTTTATTTAGAGCACATCAGTGGGGGTGATGAGACAGAAGAATTGAAACGAATCCAAGCTTAGGCAACTAATTAAGTAAGGAAGAAATAAAGAAAGAAGGGGGAACACCTGGCAGTGCTTGCCTTTTCAGTAGCCACGAAAGGGCAGAAAATTCCACCAGAAGCCAACGTAGAAGAGTCTGTGAAGCTTAGTTGTTACCTCCGTTTCATCCCATCACACCAAGGGAGAATCACTGTGCAATGACTCCAGAGTCCAGGGGACTTTGAAGAAGGGCAGACGGGAGTTCAAATGACTTTATGCTTACAAGGGAACATTTTAGTTTACAATACATTTTCTATTTAGGAAAACGGGTGAACGCTATTCAGCAAAAAGAGCTTCAAGTCTGCTAACAAGCCTGGGGTTAGACTTAAGGCAACTGCATATTTCAAGGGGGAAAAAAAATCCTACCTTGCTGGAAAAAAATTATATCAAGAACCAAGTAGGTCACAGGAAGTCACATGAAATTTTGATATGAATAGGAAGGTTCTGCCTCGCTCTGCTGCTTTTATTACAGGTGGAAGAAATTTATGATTTTCCCAAAACTATCGATTTTACACCATTATTTGGTACTTTTTAGTATTTGTGGTTAATTCCACCTAACTGAGGGAAGAAAGGGTAAAAACTGCAAAGGGGCTTCATTTTGGAATTCTACCCCAGAAAGTTCAGAAAGGGAAATGCAAAGAGAGAGAAATGCTCTTCCTTTGTCTACTTCTGAGTCTCACAAGAGCTTGCTTTGGTTTCCAGCCACTCTGCACAGCAGCTATAAGGGGATGGAGGATCCTACTGAGTGAAACGCCTGCACCGCTGAAGCCACTTCCCTTTTCTTCCCTCTTTCCTAAAGGACTGTCTTTTACTCCATCTATGAAGTTCCTATATGATATGTTAACATATGATCAAATCTCTCTCTCTCTCTCTCTCTCTCTCTCTCTCTCTCTCTCACACACACACACATTTGGTTTTCCTTCTAAACCTCTCTATCACACTGATTTCTACCACAGGCTACCTTCAATTGCCAACACAGAAAATTTAAAGGTACCAATTCCCAGGGGGAAAAAAATAGCAAGTTCTCAAATATTCCTCATGGGAGGTTAAGATGCTTAAGAAATAATGATAAATATGCTCTCTCTGCAGAGCAAATACCAGCCAAATATGCCAAATGATATGGCCCTTGAATGGGAGGAAATGGCATTCAGCATTCAAAAACCAAACTGCATAAATCTTTTCACGACCATTCCAGTTTGGGATGAGTTTTATTTCTGTAATAACTTACTGTTAGACTCAGTCACTCCATGGGCTCATATGTTTTTGCACATTCTTGCTGATCTCTTTTTGAATGTATCCTATCCTGTTTCTCCAAATGGATCATAAGCGCTTAGAGGGATGTCGCTGCGACTTATTTCTTCCAACATTGTTTTACTACTCATTTTTACTTTTATTTTTCTTGCTTCTCTTTCGTACCGGATCTCACATCTCAGCTACCCAAGATTCACTTAGAAAGCTGGGCAAACATTTTCAAAGACACATAGAAAACCATGGCCTCAAACTGCCCATTGGATTCTCAAATATACCTGTTTTGACTGTCATTCTAGAGTTATAAAAAGAAAGCCTAAACTTCAGAAATGCCAAATTAGGCCACTATTAAAGAGAGATTGAGTTCTAAACTTAACTCTGCTATCTAGGGATTTTAAATATAGAAATTCTTTTTAGTCTTGAAAATTTGAAACCCTGTCCCAGCACCTAAGCTTATTATTGCTTAAATAACTGGTTCTCAAATTTCTCTCGGAAGTGACCACATGCTGACTGTACCTTCCTTGAGTTAAAAACAAAGCATCTTCTCTCCATCACAAATTAGATGGCCTGGGGCTGCTGAGCAGATCTATTCCCAAGACACCTACTATGTGCTAGATGGTGTGGTATATCACAGGCTGGTATTTCAGAGACTCAGTGCCCAAGGACTTCATTGTTCATGTTTATAAAAAGGCAAATCTTTCAAATTTAAAATAAATGTATGTTGTCTTGCAGATTTTCTTATTATCTATGGAAAAAATAAGATGATCCAAATTGTACTGTAAGTGAAAATTATCAGGGCTATAAATTCCAGCTGGTGTCACTTGTTGAACCACATAAGTATTAGTCACTTATTGGATGGTAGATACTTGGGGATTTACATGTAGGTGAGTGGGGGAAAATAATTTAGATAATTTCCTAAATGTTTTACTCTTTTCCCAAGCATCTTTAATCAAAGGATATCTCAGTGCAAGACTGAGAAATCTCACAGATGACAAGACTTTGTATCACTGAGTGCTTAATTAAAAATCTATCTCTAGGCACAGTTGAAACACAACATAAAACAAAATAGAAGTGCAGAGTTTTGTTTTTTTGTTTTTTTTTTTTTCCTCTTACAGTGTCAAACTTTTAAGGGCAGCTGATGGAACAGGAAATGCCGTACTGCCCCCGGATTAGTTGTATTTCCCTAACCTCGCCTCTTGTGCCCGCAATCTCTTCCCCTGTGGTAGTAGGGAGGTCATTACTCAATTCCTTAATGCCGCTACCTTTGCTCATCTTCCCACTAATCGCTGGACTCTCAATTTCATACCACAAACCTAAATCAACAGAGCTAATGCTTCCCATAACCTCCGGATTATTTCCTGCTTGTTGATTTTCTGGGGAATCTGTACATTTTGGTGTTGACAGTACAAGGTATATTCCATGCTCTCTCTTGAACTTAGCAGGTTTTGACAGATTTATGTGAGGACAGATGGCCATTACAGGCTGAAGGCTGACAAGAGGCAGTTCAGAGCATTGTTAACACACTTGCACAAACTCTCAGCAGTACAGCTCTGTGCAGAATGTAATTCAGACTATAGCTTTTTTATTGCTGCCTATTTTCTTTTGTCAAAAGAGCCTGCTGTGCAGAGCAACAAATGGCTGCTATTACCCAGAATGTAATGGGTGTCAGACAAATCACGTAACACAAACAATCAAGAGTATGTAGGTCATATTTCAACAGAGCACAACCTTAGCAATATTTATGATTACTGCATTGAAATGTGCTCTATAATAAACAAGTACCTCTACATCACTCACACTTATGCACTTCTGCACAGCAAATCCGGGAGAAGTGGCACACACTCCACAGTCATCTTTTTAAACAGTCCTTTTATTTAAAAAGAAAAGTCAGAGACAAATTTTGTTTTGTTTTGTTTTTCATTATGTGCTATAAAGCGATTTTCTTCGAGGACTTCTCTTTGGGGTTTGTATATTTAATTGAATGACTCTGATAGATGTTGAAGCTCCTACTCTAGTTCCTGTGTTCTGCTATCCATCCACCAACTTCTGTAGGACTTTTTTCCTCTTTGCATCATGGTTTATGACATTTACAAAATCTACTACTAACTCTGCAACTTTCTTTTGCATTTGTTTAGCAGTGGGATTTTGATTATGTTCCATGCCAATTCGGATATTTAAGGAAAAACGATGAGACATTTCTAACTTGCTTACAAACAGACTAAGATGGAAAAATTGGGTAGAGAGAGTACACAATGTGTCCTTCTCACATATTTTATGCCTCCAGGACTTGAACTGGGTGTCAGAAGTGCCTAGGGAAGGCTATAATCACAGGGTGCCACTGGCACCTCCACACCTGCTGTTCAAATACCTAATTGATAAAGACTCCTCTCTGCCCTCCATTCCCCCATCCCCACTTTTCCAGGACTTGTTTGTACTTCGCAAGATCCATAGGGGCCCCCAGAACCCCACTCTGGTACACTGGCCTGTATCCATCACTGTGACTGGGAATGCTCTGTCTTTACTCCATTAAATATTTCTTACATCATCCCTGATTGTTGGGGAGTGTGGCGATCTTTACAGTAAATGTTTAGAACATTCCTAGGGCATGGCCCAATTCCCCAGTGTTTTCTAATGGAAAATAAAGATAGTAATAATATAGCTATTGTGTACTTTGCCACAGAGCTGGTGCAGGGCTTCTGACATTGAAAGTGTCTCCCTCCGAGGCCTATAGTTGATGGAGGAGAAGAAATAGATTGGATGTCTTTGGCTTAAAGGGTAGTCTAGCCATAATGAGATACTATTATTTCCACAACAGAAGACTGAGGACAAAAGGAATAGGGTGAAGAATAATGACATTGATCCCAAAG